CACCATTTGGAAACTGGTCACAAAATTATGTTTGACCAAACCCAAGTACTAAACAAAACTAGGGCTTACTTCCCTAGAAAATATACAGAATCTCTGGAGATATACAAACAATTTTAATAGAGACAATGGACATATGACTAGTTCACTATGGCATTCCATCTTGCCATAAACACATCCTCCCCTCTTTCTTACCATTCCACCCCTCCTCCACCACACCCCTTCCACTTCAATCTAGCACTATAAAAAGGGACACCTGACCAAGAGCATTTCAGTATCAGGCTGCTCTTCAAACCCTGATGAAGTGAGCTGTAATGTTCACGAAATGTCGGTATAAAAATGACACTAACGCGGTTCAAATCCGAAAAAACATCTTTGTATGTTACTACTACACACCGCGAAGGCATCAAATATTAAAATATGGTTAGTGTTTTTGAGCAAAGATTGAACTACTATCGTAAAAAAGTTAAATGGTGCAACTGATAGTCTTTGACCATTTATTTGGTAAATAAGTGTAGGCGCGTTTGGGTAACAATTATCTTCATATATATATATTACATCACGGAGCAGTTTACTTGAGGGCAATTAAATATCACTCATTGTTGTACTTAATAATCAACGCATATAAATTTATTACTCTCAACACAAGAAAAAACTCAGTCGTTACATAGTCAAGTCTTTGACCGATCTTCTCAACGGTCTCTTAACGACTCTCGTTGCGTAATCGGCAAGTATATCCAAAATCATGCACGATACAATAACATGTGTTCCTAGAGATAGCGCGATACGACCTTTCTCAAGAAAATTACAATAATAAACAGACGAAAGCATTAGCTATAAGGCAATACATATCAAGCCATGCGGCAAAGTCGCGCGCGAAATATATAAACAGAATTCTCTTTCAGGCGCTTGCAGCTTTGGCCATCCTGACCTTTAGTTTGTCCTCGAACTATGACGCATAAAAATACATTTATCTTAAAAAAATATACTTCTTACAATAATAGAGCGGCAACTAAACTTAACATAAATTTTCACAACAATTATTGATTTTGACTTTCAACAATAGACTCATTCTCATTTACTCTTATCCAAGGTTTAAGTTTCTCGGAAGAAAGAATGATATTCATAGGCTTCTGTGTAATATTACATACAGGAATGTCAGTCACATCAAATCTATTATTTTTCAGGACGGC